CCAATCAGAGCACACCTCGCTTTTTCAGACAAAGTGCAATCTGCAGGTCTGGATGTCATATAAATTCCACAGTTCAGAAAACATTCTCATTTATCGCCCTCTAAAGGTGAGAAAAGGGAAATGCAGGATGGATGGCTACAGTGAAATGGTTCTAAATGCATTTTTCCCTCATTATTATTATTTTTATTTATTGTACATATAAATAAGCAATTTTTTCGTTTTTTTTTTTTTTTTACAAAATCCTTCTAATCATATTAGCCTACATAAAAGTTACTGAGTGCACATTTAAGAGAGCATAAAACAAAAAAAAACGTATTAAAGAGCATTTTGTTCTGCAAAAAACTTACAATAGGTTGATCTTGGATCTGTGGGAGATAAATGTGTTTCAGAAGGCATAGACTAAAAACACAGGCACATCCTGCTGAAGAAAACCACACGATAGATAGTAGTGTCTAGATCTTTCCTGTTTATACTGTGTGATGAAACGGTAACCGTTCAAAGCCAAACTATCTTTATAAGATATCAAAGCAAATTTCTCATCTCTCGTCTTTAAACAATAATCTGTTCCCAACATCTGCACTTTGATGTGTTTTGTTCATGCTGGTCTGTGTGTATCACAGATTAATGGCTTTCCAAACTGGAAAAAAATGAAAATAACAGAAATAAAATTCAATATGCTTGTTACTTCCCATGCATATGAGAAAGCAAACCTTATGCTAGACAAATAGACTCTTCAATGGCTGTAACAGAGACGCTGGAGTTTGGTTAGAATCCATGAGCGGAAGTTTATTAAAGGTCAAGGCTTTAAACAGATGTCGATAATCAGGCAGAGGGTCAAAGTCAGAGAAGCAGGCAGATCGTTCGTCATACACAGGGGCAGAGGCAGAGACAATAGTGGAAAGGCAGGCAATGAGTCCAAACACAAACATCAGTCCAATCAGGCGTCAGAACAGAAGGGGCAGAGTACAAATACCGTGAGTCAAGAAGTCAGGCAGAATCATACACAGGAATCAATCAGGAACAGAGGAACTATAACGCTTGGTAAGGCAGATGAACTGGCAATACTTCGCGACCAGCACATGGACTGGTCTCAGTTTATATGAGAGTCAAACAGGAAATGGAAGTAGAGGAAGCAGAGGGAGTGGAGCACGGTCAGTACTCGGGCGAGGGCTCCCTCTGCTGGCTTGGCGTTACAATGGCATACAAATGAAAAATTCTTCACATTTTAGTCTGTTCACATGCACAGTTTTGACTTTCCCTTATATTACATTATTTTGTTATATTTTAAGTTGTTTTCCTTTACTTTAACATGCGAGTGTTGATAGTAAACTAAACACAAATACTTAAGTTGTATTGAATTTTTAGTGTTATTTATATACTATAATTTAATAATATCTTGAATGAACTGTTATTTTTATATTTATTAATTTTATAATGCACTTTTGTTATTTTTATTTTGTTCGTTTTAGTTTATTATATTTTTACTTGGTTTTAATTTTTCAGTTTTATTTCAGTTTTAGTCATTTTAGTACTTCAAATTCAATATATTTCATTTATTTTCATTTCTAAGTTCTTCATATATATATATATATATATATATATATATATACTGTATATATTATTTAGTTTAGTTAACAGATCTTATCATTTTATCTTTTATTACATATATATATAGTTTTTGACACTTGATCCCATCAGTAAATCCCAAAGAGAAGAAGAAATAATGCTGTAATGAGAATTTTGAAAATTTATTTGGCAACTTTGAGCAACTTTTGATAAGTGACTCAGACAATAAAAAGGCACACATTTTCCATCCAAATTACACAAAAAGAGGAATTTTGTACGCTGTAAGAAAAACAGAACAGATACTAGTAATTTTCCAGGACATTACCCATTACCCAATATGTTACCCATTGTAACCCTGTAACCCGAAAACACAATGCAGGTAAAAAACCAAAACCTACGGAAAATTCTTTCATATTATTAACATGGTAGATTGTGCCCTATTTTTACAGACTTTTCTTTGAGTGTAGCATACTAACTAACTAGGCTACTAATACACTGCTTAAAGTGTAATTGTTGAGAACATAGACATAATAAATACCTAGACGCCTCATTGGCCGCTCGACCGCACGTCAACATCGCCGCCGTTTTTCCCTTTTTAGCCAATTGCAAACAGGACAACGCAAGGCTTAAGGAAAGCTGAAGAAAGCCTGTTCTCTGCATTTCCAAGAGAGTAGGCTATACTTCCACAGCCTAATGTTGTATT